CTGGCGAACCACTGAGTACTGAGCACTGATTGGCGATCCACTGAGTACTGAGCACTGACTGGCGAACCACTGAGTACTGAGCACCGATTGGCGATCCACTGAGTACTGAGCACCGATTGGTGATCCACTGAGTACTGAGCACCGATTGGCGATCCACTTTGTACTGAGCACTGACTGGCGAACCACTGAGTACTGAGCACCGATTGGCGATCCACTGAGTACTGAGCACTGACTGGAGAACCACTGAGTACTGAGCACTGATTGGCGATCCACTTGATACCGGGTACCAGCTGGCGACCTGCTCAACGGCAAGTGCGGATTGAGGACCTGCTCACTGCCAACGTGTTGTCTGGTGACCTGTTCGATGCCAAGCGACCATTAGCCTCTCAGTGCCAACTGCTGACCCTGTCCATGCACAGTGCAGACTGGCGGCCCACTCAATACCAACCACCAACTCGCTCAATGCTCCTGCAGATATTCATGGCATATTTCAAATGGTCCTTCAAAGACTGTGACTTTCAGGGTTCATTGCTGCAGCCCACAGCTGGACTGGGGAATAGACTTTTTCATTTTGGGAGGTGTTTCAGATCCCACTGGTCACCAGTAATCAATTAGTAATTGTTTGAAGGAGGTTTGTTCCGTGGGTGTGGAAGACAAACAATGCTCCCACTCTCCAGGGTTCCTATTCTTGCTCATTTTTGGTCAAAGCACAAAACAGTAATTTTCTTATGTTGCTTGTTTTGCCCACCATTTATATCCTGAGGGGGGCAATAAAAGGGCCCCATTCCATCCTCAAACACCAGTGCTCCCTGGATCTCATCACCATCACGGAGAAACCGACGTTATTTTTACAGACCTGTTTACCCACAGAGCAAATTCACATCACCAGCAAAAACTACCTTAAATATGAGGCTTTCAGATTTTCATGCACAAACATCGTTCCATGATTAAGTCTTTCATTTTGAAGGAGATGTGCTCATTCATTACTATATTTTTTACTCATTTTACTGACATAAATGAATTTGATGTTACAAAACAGGTTTAATACAGGGAGAAAAATAACTACAGAAGGTGTCACAAAAGACTTATTCAGAGTCACCATATGGTATTGAATGGAGTGGTTCTCACCTTGAAAAGTAAATAAAATATCAATTGCCGTCACAAATCAGAATAAAACCTCTCTTGTAAGGTGCAGTTGTGTGGGAAATACTGGGTGACTCAGGGAACAGAATCACACGGGAGTTAAAACAACTGACCAAAGCTGTTCGGGTGGTATTTGGGAATCATGGGCCGGGGAAATCCAACACAATCCAGTAATCTCTCCAGCATCAGGAATTATTATTCCCTATGAAGAATCTAGCAGACAAACGAGCTAGAATCAGACATGCATCAAGGAATCCAGTGAGAAATCTAGACAGGAACATCAAACAGCCATAAAAATATATTTGTCTGTACTAAAACATCTACAAATTAATTAAACCATAAAGCATATAATAACTGCATTTACAACACAAAAGACATTCATTGAAAGATAACATTAAAATATTACCCAAACAGGTTACATGTCTGATTGTGACATGAGGGCACATGTCACATGTCAGTGGTCACATGTCACATGTCAGTGGTCACATGTCACATGTCAGTGAATCCACCATCTCACTGTTAGGTGGGTATTACAATAAGTAAGAGGTGTTGTGGTCTGACTGGCCTGAAAGATAACATGCAGGTGAGACTGTTTCAGGTTGGTAGGGCGTACCTTAATATGACAGGACAGATTCTGATAGAGTAGCAGTGCGATGAAATTAGCCTTAAATCTGTATTGTTTCTCAATTTCATTTCCTTGCCCTGGTTTTGTAATGAGATGCACAGATTTGCAGTGAGGATCCAATCTGTCTTGGTGGTCGTCCAGAACCAGCTGTGGCTGCCCATTCCTCACCGGGCGGAGGGGAGTGAAGAGTGCAGGGCTGCTTTCGGAGGCGACGCCCAGCCCAAACGCCTCCACCACACCCTCCTTTTAGCCAAAAGCCTCCTTCTCCCCCATCCCCGCACCTTCTGATAACACCTGCTCCCCCTATCTAGGTGAGACTGGGGGATTCTGGGTAAAGGCAGCCGAGGTAAACCCCACTTTGAGACCCAAGCGCTTCCAGGTCTCCTAGACATTATCGGCACTTACGCCTGCAGGTTTATACAGTACAACACAAAGAGAACGACCCTCCCCGTTCAGGCCGAGTCAGACATTTGAAAGCAGGAAGGGTTTTCAATTAGCCTCCAATAAAGCAGGAGGCTGGGATTTCCAGTCTCTGTAAGGCCCGGGGCACAGAGCCTTGGCTTGAGTTATTGTTTAGTTGATTAATTAGTCTGCTCAGGAGATTTGTGGCCCCGCGCGTGCCTAGGTAACGCGCATGCAGAACAGAGAAAGCCTTCAAGAAGTGAAGCCTTTTAGAAATGCATCCAGGCAATGCGCCAAGCCAGTACTCCTGAAAGGCTGTGGCCATGCAATTAAATGCGAACGGCAGAAGCCTGCACGTCTGACGCAGCTCCTCTCTAACGTCTTATTTGACAACACTGGGTACTTTCTTTCCTCAATTAAGCTTGTTTTTTGTTTTTTGCTGAAACATAAGTTAAAACTTTGACCTGTTTATCTTTCAGTTCCCCTTTCCACATATTTAATGTGCTAGTTTCTATATTATTTTTCCATTTCTTAATAAAAGCAATTCATTGTTTCATTTCACATTTGTGTGCTTCATAAACACCATCTGTCAGGTTTTATTGATCAACACTGATTGAGTTTTGTATCAACTCAGTTTTCTAATGCATTGAAGTGCTGAAATTTCATCCTTTGCACCAAGAATTTATTTTTTATTTTTGTGGCATGTTGCAGCAAATGCATCAGTTTTGATTTTAAAGAAGACAAATATAGATACTGGAGGCTTGTGAGTAGCACAGTTTCTGATTTTAATCCGGCGTGTGTTGGATTCTACTGGAGATTCTGCATCCCTAAAACTGACCATAGTGTGTGATTTACACGTGTGATGCTGATGGACAGGCCCCGTAGCGGCTACAAGGCCGGAAAGTGAAGCGATGAATAGACACAGCCTCCAAAGTCCATACGTCTCATAAAAAGAGGCTCACACCGTGTGGCTTTGCTTTTTGCTATGTGTGCGTGTGGATTTAGTGTGTTCCTCCAATGCCTTCCTCCTATATAGGATACACAGCCGTGGAATATGGATGCATGTGTATTTTCTGATGTCATATATCTCCTGCTTGGAATCTAAGTATGTTTTGTGTAAAGTGCAAGAAAAGTAATCAGCAAAATTGAAGCAATTATTATAAGCTGATTTCTCAAAACTATAGCTGCCCGTTTGTTGTCAAAATCCAACCCACCCCCCCTTCCCACAAGAAACAAAAATTTTGGCACATGAAAATTTGTTATTGACTAGAAGAAGAATGGAACTGCTCAAAGATCACAGAGATCAGCAACAATCTGTGAACGTTTCGGCCTGAAAACATTTTGTTTTGCCAGATATAAGGCACCAGGTTCAAGTTCTCGGAGAGGCAATTCTACTGCACTTTTCAAAAAGACACTTATGCAGACATTTCATTTGGATACACCTTTTGTATAAATGACAAATGCAAAGGTGCAGATGAATGGTGAAAGGGTAACTAGTTAAACTGCAGCATATAGAGTGGTCTGAAGGAACATAAGGTAGGGTTCATATTAAAAGTACATGACACAATGCAGCAAATTTGATATGTATTATTTTAAAAGCTCCTGCGGTCGTCTACAGTAATTTTCCATTTATCTTCAGTGAAATATCCGGGTGAATACGTATATAAAATTGTGAATTACCTAAACCTATTATGTAATACGTGCAGAATTCATGTCGCCTTAAAACTTCGGTAACAATTGTTAAAAAATAACGATGAGTACTGATCTGTTTGCAAAAAATATCATTGGAAATACCACCAATTCTATTTATTCGGGAGCACCCGAATGGCCTACAGTTTACCAAATCAAGAGTACACAGGAAATACTTACGTGTATATATGAACATCTAACAATTACATTTTGTCTTAAAATCAATCAAAATTGCCGAATGATAAAATAATATTTTTTAAATGAATTTACACCATTGGATCTGAGTCAGTAATTGAGAGACGCCCTCTGCTGATCAGAAAACGAATCACCATGACAGTCATGACATGGAAAGAGCGTGAAATCACTCCGTTTGCGTCCTTCTGCCTCAGACAGATTGACCATTTTGAATTGTTCCTACACACCTACATGCATGCAAGCGGATATAGTTTAGCAAGACTCCGTTATCGTTATACAAAATATTAACCTTACGCCTTATGCATTAGGGAGATTAGCAGCAGTCTTCCACTTGAAACGTTTTTTCCCTGAAACCTTAGGTTAAAGGCGTATATATGTTTATATTGGTGCATGTTATGCACATGTAGTTTCGTACCGCAGCGCAATGCCAATGTTAACTAGCCCTTATACTTATACATTTGCATATTTACGCTATTGCGTTATTTTGTTTTCAAAAGAACGGTTTTGTAAATAGTGATTTATGAACGTCTTTTAAATATAGCTTCGTGATTTCGTGTTTTTTTTATTGTTTAAAGTAACACTAGTCTGTCTTTAACGCTTAAAATCAACGGGAGATTTTCGGATCTTTATAAGCGGCATAAGGCACCTGTTAAATCCTGCGCCTTTCGATCGCTGTTTGACCGCCAGCATTAGAAAACACTTCGGGAATCGACAGCATCCAGATTAATTACACAGCTCCGCTTTTTCTCCCCCCCCCCCCCCAGCAGGTAATTGAATCCGTACGCATCTGGCTCCGGAACATTTCTACATTTTACTACGGCTTTGTTGTCATGATCTGGTTGGAGCGATGCGGTTTTGCGCTCCTCTACAGCGCCTCCGCCCCCCTGTCCCCCCCCCCATCGCACCGCCCGCCCCGCACGCATGTGTCCGAGGGCTTGCGGGACAGCTTGCGTGTGAGAGAGAGGCTGCGCCCGGACACTCTTCTTCGTCCGCGGCAGGGCAGGGAGCGGCGGCAGGGCGGACGGCAAATGCGGCGCAGCCACAGACCTTTAATCGGCGGCGGTCCCGTCGCCGGCAGAGGATGCGCTCGCCCAAGGTAAACGGATCAAGTTTGCGTTTGAAGGGAGCCGGCCGGTGCCGAGTGATGCCTCATTATTAGGGGTCTGTCTATCGTCGTGTCTTATCTGTGTTTTGTGTGTATTCTGTTTGTTTTTCTTCGGTATTTGAAACGAGCGTCTTGAAACCGCGTTTTAATTCTAGAGTTTGGGGGGAAATTATTTCTTAACTGTGTTAGTAGCTGCATCTGTCATTATGAGTAAAGTCGTGAATTAAGTGAATTTTCTTCGGATGTGCGAAAACATGTAAGAATTCATGTCACTTATTCTGTTGAGTGTTAGTGTCATGTGTGCATGCAGTAGCGCCGTTTTCTCCCGTAAATCCTTCTCATAGTAACAAAACTGACATTTTTACTTAACCACGACAAAATTTACATAGGCTACTTTACTTAAATAATGGAAATAATTTTATACGTGTAATAGCTGTAAATCTACAACAAGCATACCCGTATTTGCCTTGTTCTTTTTCGTCAGGGTTGATTATATCCTAGAAAATTAAATGTAAGAGTGCAGGTTGAATGCCTTAACTAGATACGGAAATGTTAAGTGGATACCAACGGCATGATAGAGGTGCATTGCGAAGTTACCTGTTTAGTTAAAGATTTTAACTACGCCTGAAAAATATTAAAAATAATAAAATTAAATTTTAGATGAAAAAGTCACCTTTGTACCGGAGAGGAAATATATTGATGGTTGCACCTGTTTCGGCTCTGGTTCAGTGGTGCTAAAAAGCTGAAAACCAGTAAACCCATCAGTAAAGCAACTGACTGGCTTTCTGTCAGTTTATTGGTGTACCAAGCAGATGACCCGGAGATGGGGGCGTTCATAGCGAGGTGTGGAAGGGGCGCTAGTTGGGGACAGAATGGGGACAAATCTGTACGACAGCCAGTCCCACCGCAGTATGCCGGTCTGCAGGAAGGGCGGCGATCATGCTCATGGTAATGACACGGCAAAAGGTGTAAGTAATAACGCACCTTTACAGCATTAACACAGCGTTTCATTTGTTCGATCCATTTCCAGTTTGATCGGAGTCTCTGAGCGCAGCCTTGTCACCGACCCGCTGCGTAAAGCAGATGGCATCGCCGGTGTGGAGACAAAACGCGCCATTGAGACTTTCTTTAAACTTAGTTTTGCGCTGGACGCTTGACGGTGTGTAAATGATTCATTTTTAGGTTGTACATTGACCTTGTAGATGCGCTCTTGGTATTTCACCTTGACCGTTCCTGGTAGTGGAGCTTGAAACAGGTAAATTAATCTCGCATCTGTGCCGTGATTTATTTTTTTCGGAAAGGGGCGGAAATCGTGGATGTCGGTGATTTTTGGGGATGCCAGTGATTGTTGTTGTTGTAGGTGTGTTTTGTCTGTCGTCTGTGGCATCTGTCTTTTTATATTGATTGTCACTAGTCCATTCACAATAGTCGCGTTCTAGGTAAAAATTACACATGGTATATTTGATTTATTTGATGGCCTTAATGCAAATACAACGATTACGCAATTAATGCTACTGTTACGTTTAACCATAATATATTGTTTTATTATCCTTAGTATTTTATTCAGATAGTTAATAGTTGTGTGGATTAAGCAATTGTTTTTCTGCGAATAAGGTGTGGTTTTTGTTCCGCTATTTGGGGTTTAATGCTATTAAGTATTGTTATATGTCATTCATAAGCTTGAAATAGGCTATGTATTTGAATACATTATAAGTTTTGCCGAAAGTTCTTAATACGTCACTTAGCCTAAAACATTAAGTAACACTTCGACTAAATAATAAAATATTAAAGGTGGTATTTACAGGGAATATAAAAACAGTAAAAGAGCAGATGATTACAAATCAGGCGGAACTCGGTTCTTTCCTCTGTTTTATGTGGCATTCACGAGAGGATACGGCAGATGGTGATATAATTCATCCTGCAGCCCAAAGCCGTGTGTCGCCCTTACCGTCTTTCATCTTTCAAGTCTTTTTCAACCGCAAATCATAGCCTACGTGCTGCTGGACATCTGCCTTAGTTATGCTCCCCTAAATTATAAACAAGGCGCCATTGTGCCGAGTTACAGTCATTTTCCAGAAACGTATTTGACGACGTCTGCCGCGTTAAGCGGCGTTTAACATGAACGGTATACTTAAAATGACAAAAGTAAACGCAGAAAATCACAGCAATACTGAATAGGTTATGGAGAATTGGATAGAGTGTACAAAGGCCTTTTTTACATTAATTGTTCTATAAGATTGCATATAATTTGTTTAACTATAAAACGGTTGGTAATTTAATTAATTAAAAAAAGCATAAGAACTCTTGTTAATAAGAGATAATATATTTCATAACATGCTTAGATGTGGGGCCATATGGGGGCCATCTGGTTGTATGTGAAAGTCCCAGGAGGGGCTCGATGTTGTACGTTTGAGAGACAGACGGATTGCAGCCGATGGTATCCCGCGCAGATCAGGATAACGATGAGGGACTGCATTGTGAGGTTGAGCCACACCCTGGAAAAATCATAGAAATGTGATAACAGTGATGGTCGCATAATGGACACGTAGAATATTCCCCCATAGTCACACTGGGCTATGGACGGCAGACTTGGTCTCAGTGTCCAGTGCTCCCAGTACAGGGCATCAAAGGAAGGTCTGTTCCTTAGAAGGTTTCCCAGGGTTCAGAGGGTGACATAACTGTCATTTGCCTCCTGGTCCTGCTGGACTACACTCGTCCAAAAAAAAAAAATTTTTTTTTTAAACTTAAAAAAGCTGTAATAAATCCCCAAAAATTTTCATTATTAAGCATCATTTCTCATCCCAAGCCCCAAACTGATCCCATTCCTCCTTCTACTCTGTGGTGCAGACACACCCAGCAAACCGCATGACCCCCCCTCCCCCCCCACTGCGGTGGCCCCACAGCCCATGTTGTCACCTTCTGTCGATGCCAGCAGGGGGCGCAGTGGTTCGGGAGCCGAGGCAAATGTGAGGACAGGGCTTTAAACCTCAGTGCTCCCCAAATTCGAGTAACGTAGCGGTCAAAGAATCAGAATCACAACTGGGAACAGTTCAATCATATCGCTAGGCTAAATAACCGACTCTGAAAAAGCCATACTGCTCAGATGCATGGACTCTATCTCTAGGTGCCTGGGATGGATCATGGGTCCCATAGCATAGAGACAAGGTACTTCACCAGCCCCTAAATGCAAGGAGAAAGACTCAACTGCAGCCCTTAATTGCTTGTTCCTGGCAATTACACCTGATGTCAAACACAGAGGACCTCTCCACTCATCCCCATGGCTGTTCCATTAAACTTTTAGTGCACATGCACGCAGCTGCACTTCCAGGGTGATCTAGCTTCCCTTCCACCATGAGAGCCACTAGCTGAGGTGGGAGAACATGCTGATTCCAAGAAGCTGCGGAGATGGTACCATGCAGATCACTAACATCTCTGAGAGCTGTGGCCCCGCCCACAGCCAAGAGCCTATCGTTAGAATCACACCGCAGGAGATCCGAGGAAGACGTCCCCGATTCTGCGGCACTCTGCAGTTAGCATGGGAATGAATGAGGAACTCACTCCCATTTATTCATTCCACTCCAGTGATCTCCGGTTGTCTTAAACTCCCATTTCTGCAAAGATGGTGTCTGTGATTTGAGGTGTGAGAAACAGGAGCAGACATCGTCTGTACCACAGTAAGCCATAAGAATAGAAGCATGAAGTGCCAGCAATAACAGGCACAGATGGCTTGAGAAAGAATAGTAATGTGAGCAACAGATATGGGTGACGTGTGTGAGCAAAACCAGTGACCAGGAAGAGTCAGTGTTAGGAAGAGACAGCTATAGTGAAAGCAACAGACAGCGCCAGTGTTGGGAACAGACAGCGCCAGTGTTGGGAACAGACAGCGCCAGTGTTGGGAACAGACAGNAACAGACAGCGCCAGTGTTGGGAACAGACAGCGCCAGTGTTGGGAACAGACAGCGCCAGTGTTGGGAACAGACAGTTATAGTGAGAGCAACAGACAGCGCCAGTGTTGGGAACAGACAGTGTCAGTGTTAGGAAAAGACAGCATCAGTGTTAGGAACAGACAGTGTCAGTGTTAGGAACAGTCAGTGTTAGGAACAGACAGTTATAGTGAGAGCAACAGACAGCGTCAGTGTTAGGAACAGACAGTGTCAGTGTTAGGAACAGACTGCAATAATAAAAGGAACAGACAAGCTTAATAAAAAGGAATGGACAGTGTCAGTAATAGGAACAGAGAGTGTTGGTGAAAGGAAAGGACAGTTTTAGTAATAAGTACAGACAGTGATAATGAGTGGAACAGGTGTACAGTGTAACAGACAGCGTCAGTAATAGAGGAGTGTGTCTCTAACTCTCAGACTATTTACATCTAGATACTCTGTCTCTGAAACAAAGGAAAACAAGATAAATCATGTAAGGATTCAATACACTTTGAATTAAATGCAGTACTATTCAAATTCGAATGGATACTATTTAGATAAATTTACCATATATCAAAGTGCAATTTACTTTTGAAATAGAACATTCAAAACAAGCCATTGCATTTATTTTGCAATGCAATGCGACTCAGGGTAACTCAGGGTAACTGAAATTCATCGTAAGATCTTAACGTGAAAAATGTTATGTGAATATGCCATGATAGTGGCATGACAGCTGCATCCACTGGGCTTTCCCGCGCTTTCGGTAATTTCCTTATAAATTCGATCCAGATCGGGGGGTTTCAAACAATGCAGTTATGTCGTAGACATTTAGGCCGGATTTCCAGTGTGAATTTAGTCCCCCCTAACAGCAGGCAGTGTCAGTAATAGAAACAGACAGTGTTTGCAAAAGAACCAGACAATGTCAGTAACAGGAGCAGACGGTGTTCAGTGACAGCAACGGACAACATCAGTAACCAACATAAGCAAGCCGACATGTCACTAGTGTGTTGAGGTGTGTCTGTACTGAGTGCCGTAAGGATCCCATACCTGCGGAGGTATTCACGCTAACTTCCCACTGGCTAATCTCCCAGCTGCAGTGTAATGAACCCTGACAGTATACATTTGGGCGCAGTGGGTCTTTCTGCTCTCAAACAGACTCCGAGCGTGTTTCTGCTGGACCGCTGGCTTTCACGCGCTTTTCTGGGGCTCCTGCTTTCTCTATGATTCATTAAGTTCTATTGAGGTGATTTTAACAGAAAGTGATGAAAATATTTCTGCAGCTACACTGTCACCATATAAATCGCTGCGCCGCTGTAGTACATTCTGTTCTGAATATGGATGAAATGTGTGGCCAGATACGTACCTGGTTCACAGCAAATGCCAGGCGAAAAAAAAAAAAAACATAGAAAAATATTGCGTGTTACGCTGTAGCTAACATAGCGGAAGAATTAAGAAAAAGCATCATTGAAAATCAGTGGTGGAGTATCTCTGAAGATGCTCACTGATGGAGGCCCAGTGGCTCATACTAGATCCAGGAGAACAGCAGCTTCCTAATGAGATTTGGAGCTCTGGGCCTGGCTATCATTTGGCTATCATTTGGCTATCATTAAGAGACCTCTTCTGAGGGCTTCTTCAAGGCTCAGGTTTTACTGCCGGCCGCTAGGAGGAGGGAGGGCAGTGGCGGTCGGAGGAGGAGGGGGACGGGCCTGTGGTGTCGTGCGGGGATCTGCGGGCGTCTCCCTCCGCATAAACGCCGTTCCACCAGGAGCTCTGGGCCCAGCCCAATTAAAATAAATGGCGGCGCGGGCATCTTAGGCCGGTCTCCCCAGCGGAGAACGGAGCCTCGCGGAGATCGAGCTGGGAGGAAGCTGCTCCACTCTCTGTCCTTTTCGGCGACGCCAAACAAACCCCAAAACATTGTTTTCAAAGACCTGAATGCTGCCTTTTAGGCCCAGCGCACTGTAATTGAAAGTTTTCAGTTCCTACACCTTTTATTCCCTCTTATAGTCATTTAAGTGCCAACCAAGTAAAGACATCATAAATGGAATCCTTCAGCTTGAAAGGGAAAGTTCAATTCAATCTCATTTCCATTCAGTTTGTGTTTATATAGTGCCTTTCACAACACAGGCGCCCCAAGGCACTTAACAGGAATGTATGGTGATCCATTATTACAGCATTTATACAGAACATGAAAGAGGAAAAGGGGAGACGGAAAGAAAGAGAGCCAGAAGACACTGGAGGAGAGGAACCACATTTCAAGCCGCCCCAAGCGTGCTGACGTTATAGAGTTGTTATAAAGTTAAAACATCCCACATATCTCTGTTCCTCTTTGTTGCCAAGGAAGCGCGGCAGTATTGGTTCGTGTAACTTCCATCTGTGTTCTTCATGTGCGGTTCAGCGTGTTGGGTTTCGCACGCTGGCTGTCAGAACGAGGGCTCCGGCTTCTCCCTCCTGCGAGATTTACTGTCTTTAAAGCGCTAATGGAGAAAGCGCCCATTTTGTCATATCTCAGCCCCTCCGGTCCGGAATCTCACCCAAGTCCGGCTGTCTGCAGGAAGCCCTCCATATTAATATTCCTTTTTTTCCCCCCCAAGCTAGCTGTTTTTCATGATTGAAATGACACAGTGGGTTGATGAGGGTGGTGGGGGTGGGGCTGGGGGGCATTAGCAAACGTTTTCTTTTCGAACAAGTGAGAAGAATTGCCGCATGCATCTTGACTGTTTATTGACAACTCTCCTGCTAAGATCATCATTTCATTCAGATTTTAAGGAGATGGTTCCAGGCCAAATGAAGGTGCCTGCTGGGACTTTCTCAGTGAACGTTGTGTCTATTCTGGGCACCTTAAACTGGGCCATTGCGCTCAGTGCGGCACTGAAACGCCATAGGAGGCAGAAAGCAGTTTCTGAAGGAAAAAAAACTACATGTCCCATGGGCTTCAAAAAGAACCAAAATGGCGGCAGAGTCTTTGTCAGTCATGAGGAAACTTAAACAGACTCATATATGTGACATGTATACATATGTGTAAAGTATTTAGGGGTTTTCCAAACAGAAAAACATGGATAAAGAAAATAAATGTGCCACGTTGAAGAGTGAAATGGGTGTTGCGGAATTTGCTGTAAAATGGGGGGGGTGGACTTGGTAGTGCTGTTGAAAGCAAGATAAAAGCTGTGCAGTTCTCCGAGTGGATTAGAAAGTCCGAATGGGTCTTTCTAAAGCGAAAAGTGGGCTAATGCGTCCTTCTGAAGGATGAAGTGCTCCCGTACATTTCGGGCAGCGCGACGTCGAGGAGTCACTCCGAGCACTGTCACCCATGAGCACGGCCAGCAGGGGGCAGAGTGAGGGAAAGGTCACTGGGCAAGTCATTGGGGGGGGGGGGGTCCTACCGCTGTGCTCTTGAAGCTCCAGGACAATGACAGACTGCTGCGCTTACATCACTGAGCTGCATAGAGGAGCATAACGGGGGTTAAGCAGACAATGGAAATTCCAATGTTAATTTAAAAGAATAATTTAAATAAGTTAAATTATTTACAAATAATTTAAAGGAATAACAGCTATAGAATGCATATCCTTCTTTATTTCATTGTGTTGGTGTCTCCCCCAACTGGAATAATCCAGCTGGTCTGGTCTTCAGAGTCTGGAACGTTCCCCTTCCCAGCCTTTCACATACGCAACTTAAAGTGACGGCTTCAGCCCCCTGCACTGTGCCGTGCTGCAGCCCAGCACAGCCATCTTACTGGCCCCCGAAAATGGTCTGAAGGCCCCCAGTAAGATGGCCCCATGAATGAGGGAAGGAGTAGATCGGTTTGTGCAGCGCAGAGTAAATGGGTGAATGATGGAGAATTATGGTTGCGAAAGATTCATAACCATTGCCACAGCCTATTCCTTTGGTGCTCAATCTGACGGGGCTCTTCAAATTAAACCAAGAATGAAAAGTGCCCTTGGAGCCAAATTATCCTTGATATTTATACAGTTATGGGCAGTTTAAGTTTCATGCGGTCTCTGTAGTAGTTCTTGGTTCTTTTAATTGTAAAATATCTATTTTAATGTGATCAGACATGGGTCATAAATATTCCAATTTTCCCATGAAAGTATATAAAACAGACGTAGTATGATTTTCCTTTGTTTCAAATGTATACGTAATGGCGCATGCTAATGTGAAACTCACACGAGTGCTTATTTGGTTTCCACTACCAATGAATAAATCTACTGAGATCAATACTTCACATCTCCTCAGTCAAAGTGTTCTCCGAAGACTCGGCCGCCTATTCCTGGCTTCCTGGATTGGCTCTTTGCTGGCGGGGCAGTGCACGGGGCCCTCTGTACGCGCTAACAAAGGCTACCATATGGATATGAGTGCTAGCCAAGGGTGCCACATGGGCTTTATGCTGTGCGCTAACCGACGCAGCCGCGAAGGGCCGGCCGTCAGGCGCAGACCGAGGCGGCCA